CTGCACCGGGAGGAGTCATATTTGCGATGCAAAAAGATTAAGCCTAGAGCTAGACTCGTGGAAGAAATGAAGCCTCACACGGGAAAAAAATATTTCAAAAATATTTGTTTTCGGATTCTGTTTTTTTGTTCTCATTCCTCGTAGAAATTTTCTATCGTCAAAAGCATGCTCCAGTTTTTGGAAGCAAACATGGTCCATCTTTTTGCGGAGTTGCGCATGGTTTCCTTCAGGGGGCTTCAGCCCCCTGCAAAAATTGGCAGAAGTGGTTCGCAGCGAGGACGAGAATAAGGAATACTTGGAATACTGTCTCTGAGTCTCCCAAATTTCGCAAATTTCTTCCACTGAAGTCAGTAGCTGGAGCCAGTTAGGCTAGAGTAAATAGGAAAGGGACAGGCGAGGGGGAAGTGCGCACATGGGAGACGGTGTTGGTGCAGGCGAAGGAACATGGACGAGTGAGGCGGGAGGGAGGTCCAACAGGGAAGAGCTTTGAGCGAGCATTCAAGTTTTCATGGAAATCATCGATTAAAGCCATGATGTTCATGTAGAAACTGAAGTTTAGTCATAGTGGTACTTACTATTTGTGGCCCTCAATTAAAATGAGGGTGTTCCTATTTTCTGAAGGGCACTGTCCGATTAAGACGACAAACAGAAACTGATCGGCCGCCAGTTCACATAGGTTCGTCCTACGACTTAATTTAAACACGGGTTTGCTCTAATCCCAGAAAGGTTTTTGTCTGGAATCAGGGCGTCACCGGCACGGTCTACACAGACAGCCTCGAAAGGTAAAGTAACAAGGATATGAGGGTGGTTTTTGGACTGGTAACTTCACCGTCACCTTACTTGGTTTTCGTACCTTCAAAATGTGTCTGTGTGACTTCGTGAAAGGACATTTGCTGCAGCGCAGAGGAGAGACGAGGTCACACGGACACGTTTTGAAGGTAAGATGACGGTGAAGTTACCAGTCCAAAAATCACCCTCATTGCCTTGTTACATTACCTTCGGAGGCTGTGTGTGTAGGTGATCGAGTACCGTGGTGGAAAATCTTAGAGGGCTAGAGGGGCGAAGTGAAATGCGCCCGATACTTGCTATATCTGAAGTTCGAACTTCATTTGTAATGGAATTGAATGCTGCCGAATCGAACGATTAGCGAGGGTCAGTAAGAATTCGGCGAAGACTGGAGACTAAGGATAAACATATTTTTAAAAATGTGCTGCAGTGAAGAAGTGACGATGTGAAGTTCCAAATCGGAAGCGACGAGAAGAGCCGTTCGACACGTGGGTATCGGGGAGGTGAAAATGCTGGTGTCCTCATTCGATACTCTCCGTTCCGTTATTCGATGAATCCTCCACCACATCTTCCAGAAGGGCGATGGGGACGTCGTCGAGGATGGACAGGCGGCGTCCCCCCCGGTTGCGAAAGTGATAGTGAGGTTGCTCCAGGATCCCTGGGTCCTTATCTCCGTATGCCCAGATGATTTCCACAGGCGCGTCCTGAAATCGCATCGATCAGTAACGGTATGCTTCTTTATTCTCCTATCATCTCCTGCTTTTGCGCTCCGCTCCGTCCTAATTCCTCCTTTTTTTTTCTCATCATGCATTTGATCGTTTTATTTTCAAAGTCCTCCCCAAACTTTTCTTTCCTCATTCAATGGCATTTTGGTCCAATTAATTAAAGTTGCTGATTATTCCTTGATAAGAACTGGATCTTTCATCATGATTCACGCAGGTGATATTTTACGGAGTCGAATTAATTAATACAAAAAGCTGCATCCAGGAAATAGGCAATTATTTTCAACTAATGAGATCATGAATATTGATTTAAACGAACACGCAGGTGGCTTAAGTTTGAGAAACGCAAGACTGAAAATGGTGTGCATAATTCAGGGCAAGGAGACCTTTACTTGTTTTAATTACGGTATTTAGCTTTCACATTTCACAAACGCGGGTGAACGTTAACATCTGTGAGTGCAAGGAAAAGCTTGGGCCTTTATCGAGTGGATCTGCCTATCTCCTGTAAGAGGTCCAAACCTGTAAGGCACATGCAAGAGTTGCATGTGAAGGCACAATAAAAATGGACAAAATTCACTTGCATCTTTTTTGTGGAAGGAAGAAACATTTTGGCTTCTTTCATTGTCAGTTTCAGCTTGTGGTTAAATCACTTGTAAAAAACGAAAAGGAATGAAAAATTACCGTAATTTGATAATCCTGCACCGGATCCGGGGTAATGATCCTCCGAGAGAAGTGAAGCCAGATGTGGGTCCCGTTCTCCATGGCACGAATAAATTCGTAATTCTTTTGTCTGTCCACTTCAGGAAGGGTGTTCTCAGAAGAATAGCGATCCTGTCACGGGAGAACAAACGGCTTTAGGTAAAATGAAAAAAAAAAACTATTTCCAGCTGTGTCCATTGTTTCTCTTCGGTGTGGCAGATAATCCGCCGAATGGATTAATCTTGCACTGGTGAATCCTTGGGGCAGATAACAATTAGTTGCATCATCGACATTGGCCCATTTAATAAATGGGATGCAATTACATGAGTTGCATCTCCCTCTTCCGCTTCCGAATTTCGCTTCATCGGCTTGATTCAGTTGGGTGTTTATCTTAGTTTTTGTACTTTCGGGCATGTTTTGATTGATTTCGTTTCGGGCAGCAATGTCGTCTTGAGTCTTATGAAAACGTGCTAAACTGTTCACAATGAATGATTGTGGCAATCAGCTGGAATATCATGATGATGGTGCTTAGGAACACAATCTCCCTGTGTACTGTAAGCTAGAAGTGTATACATGTAACGAAGCGGTTCAGTTCCGAATGGGTATTGAGGTGAACAAAGGATTGTCAAGGAGACGCTAGCTTACAATAAGCGGTTCAAATTTCCACCTACTAGCCGGCCAGCGTAGCGGCCGTAGGCCGCTAGTATAGCTTTATATGTTACTTCCTCATGGTGGTTACCGGAAGAGCCAAATGGAATCAACTCGCAACTCTCCTTATTCAACTCCTCATGTCCAGCCATACGGGCACAAAACTCAACCAGATGGACGAAGTAACTGGCCCTTGCCGAAACGGTCGTGTGAAGTGGACCTACTTTTAGCGACGCTGTTGCTTCATACAAAGCACTATTGTCGAATTTGAAACGTTCACGGTGTGTCCAGCGCCAAAAACGCGACTTCATGCCATCCACAAGGAATAGCAAAAGCCTCGCTTGTTATCTTATTCTTTATTCACTTCTTTTAATAGAAAATGAACATCTCAGTGATAGTGACTAGACAGGTTATAAGAAACAAACTGCTTGGCTGAAATTTCAAATAGCGATTGCTTTGGATGAATGATGGGTGACGCATTGCGTCATTGCACAGCCCCGACTGTATGTAAGCATATTTTCAGCGAGTTCCGCCCTCTGGCATTGAAGTGACAGGTCGTTGGAATTTCGATCACCCCGGTATTCCTTGAAGAATGAAAGGAGAGGAATAAGGGACGATTCCGAGTTCTGCACGGGATACAGATCGATTCGATCGAACCGACACGACCCGCGGATCGGGCATGTGGCTCTGTTGACGATCGAGTTTCCTGTTGGGTGCGGACGGACTGCAGAGACCTCGTTTTCTCGAGCTTAGAGGCCTCAACGGGCTGCGGACTGGTCCGATCGGCCCGACACGGGCCATCAAACCCGAACCGCGGGTCCTGTTAGGAAAAGTCGGTCCCTGGCGGCTTCCGGTGGACAGACGGACAGACCGACAGGACAACGGTTAGATATTATTATTCCTAAACCATAAGCTCTTACCCCGTCAGTGGGGATTCATGTTGGTTGTTACGCTTGGCCGCATTCACATCGTGAATGAAGCGGGAAATGAATCACATCCTTTCATTCCCATTACAATGACATTATTCACCTTTTCTTCCCGTGGCTGCGATGACGCTTCTCATTAATGACATTTTTACGCAAGCAAGATAATGCAGGGCATTTCATTTCAATGGTAAGGGTTATGCCGGAGAATTCTGCTATTTTAGTTCCAATTTTGCAAATACTTCAGGTGTCCGGAAAGTAAGGAAAATCGTTTGTAAATTTGTAACTCTACAAGCAATGGACTTCTCACTGCTCAGGTATTTAGTTCAATATGGAATCTATGTTATTACCGATTTTCAAGTCAATCCGTTCAGAAGTGCTTGCACAGCAGACCTCAAAAAGAGCTCTATAACCTCAGTGCAACGCGGGCTGTTTTAATCAATTTGTATATCGCTACAAGCGCAAATAACTTTTGCTTCTATGCGTTCACGTGGTTCCAACTTGGCATTGCGGCCGCTGCCTGTTACACCAAACTGGTCCCTGTGTATGTCAAGTCTACTGTCTTCCGTTGGCTCAGCAGCTTCAGAGAAGCAGCTGAAACGGAGGAGCCTTCCTTTCTGACCAACCTCACACTAACCGTCCGAGGTCCACTCACACACCAGAGCTTGTCGAGACGGTGAGAGAGCAGGTTGAAGAAGACTGCCAAGGAACTACTCGAGAACTGGATGAGGCCCTCGACCTTGACAAGAGGTTTTGTGGCTCCTAACATCAAAATCGATGCCAATTACTATCAAAACGAAGTTCTGAAGAAGGTTCTCTATCCTTGGGCAAGTGATCATTTTGGGGATTCTTCTTGGACATTTCAACAAGATAAGGCCCCAGCTCACACCAGCCGGTCAATAAAAAAGTGGTGCGTGCACGAGTTGCCAGATTTTATTGGTCCAGAAGCTTGGCCCTCCTGCTCTCCTGATTTAAATCTGACGGACTCGCTGAAAATATGCTTACATACAGTCGGGGCTGTGCAATGACGCAATGCGTCACCCATCATTCATCCAAAGCAATCGCTATTTNTTCAGCTTGTGGTTAAATCACTTGTAAAAAACGAAAAGGAATGAAAAATTACCGTAATTTGATAATCCTGCACCGGATCCGGGGTAATGATCCTCCGAGAGAAGTGAAGCCAGATGTGGGTCCCGTTCTCCATGGCACGAATAAATTCGTAATTCTTTTGTCTGTCCACTTCAGGAAGGGTGTTCTCAGAAGAATAGCGATCCTGTCACGGGAGAACAAACGGCTTTAGGTAAAATGAAAAAAAAAAACTATTTCCAGCTGTGTCCATTGTTTCTCTTCGGTGTGGCAGATAATCCGCCGAATGGATTAATCTTGCACTGGTGAATCCTTGGGGCAGATAACAATTAGTTGCATCATCGACATTGGCCCATTTAATAAATGGGATGCAATTACATGAGTTGCATCTCCCTCTTCCGCTTCCGAATTTCGCTTCATCGGCTCAATTCAGTTGGGTGTTTATCTTAGTTTTTGTACTTTCGGGCATGTGCATTTCAAGGGACTAAAAGACAGGAAGGAAACTCATTATTGCTTACCCCGGAATGGAGGCTACGGAGAATTGCATTTTTATTTCCAGTCGAAGGGAGAGTTCCGAATCCTGCAATATTTTTCAGTTAACGGATTATATGAATCCTCTACTCCAATGGATAAAAAAAAAACCATTCGGCCAAAGGGTATGAGGACGTTTCACATCTATGAGGTTTCAGCACTCGGCCCTGACTCCGTAAATGGAGGTTTTGGAGTCCATAAATGCAATGACGGGAGTAGAGAAAGGAAAAAGACCGTATCCTTCCAAGGGAAGTGGACAATTCATATCGGCAATCAATAATAAGGGATTGTATCCGATTTCCTGTCTTGCGAGACTGATCCTCGATGCCAGAATGTCATGGGACATTCTTTAACGGGAGCCCCACCTGTTTGTCTCCGAAGATCAAGGAAAATATTATAAAAATAAACATTAATTAGTATATCTCATCATAATATAACAATGACATCATTTGCTTGCTGGTCGCTCCTGGTCTATGTTCTGTTTCGAGCATATCCTATACTTTAATTCGAAGAGGTCAAAAGTTGCGGTGGTGGCGGTGGTGCTGGTGGTCGTGGCCGTGGCTGTCACCCCCAGCGCGCAGGCCTACAATGCAATCCCCTTCTGGATCATAGGCCACGCCATCCACGGCCTAAAGCGCCAGGCCTATGGTAAAAGGGGTGGTTTTCGCGCACTATCTTTGTATTTTGAACTTCCG